GGCTGATATTATTGTTATTTTCTTAAAGCACTCCTTTGGCACCAGCGCCTGACACTCTCCACTCCAAAAGCTGAAAATACTTTCCAGACCTCCACGTTCTTTCGACTCAGGCATGGAAACTTATTGTTTAGGTGAAGTAATTCAAAAGGATGTAAGCTGGTGCATGAAGACCTATTTTCCCTGTAGATGCAGGATTGTCCCTTGGACTCATCTGATGTACCCTGTAGAGATCTCATTACTCACCATGCATTGCCAGACACACGCTCCCCGCTGACGGCAGACACCGTAATACTTGCTATCGACTGAGAACAGGGATTCCGCCTTGGTTTCCTTAGCAGCAGATGCCATAACACTAATCTGCTCAATGGGCCCCTTTCTCCTGTAACCGTAATAACCAGGTTGCTGCCCATGAAGTGTTACAAACGTAGCCGAGCCCTCTGATTAAAGTTTTCTCAGGTTTATGACATGAAAACCACCTGTGTCAGAGATGTACAGGTGCAAACAGTTAAGTTTTTGTGATGTAGTGATTTGAAGGCAAGATCTGCACTGGAATGCTGGAATTGCCTAAAGATGCCCTTAGGCAAGTGACTTCTCTGTGTCTCAATTTCCCCATGTTTAATGCAGTACCTATAGTGTCTCACTCCCAGGGATTCAAAAGATCAGACTACAAATAGCACAAGTGCTGAATTTCACTGTGTACAATACAGCACCCAAATCATTGCAGCAAGACTATTCCCAAACTGAATATGTTGTGTATATGCAAGAAAAAAAGGATTCTGCTTCAAAATCTTAACCATCTAGGCAGGAACACAATGTCACAGACAGATCTAGAAGATACTCAGGAGGCATTTGTTTCTTTGAAATACATAAGCTAGAGATGTTTACAATGGCTATCATCACCGTCCAGTTCCTTTCATGGATATCAATATGTTATGACACCCAATACCTATAAACACTAATTGCATATGTAGAAATTACATAAAGATAAATATATTTTTTTATGACAAGGGTGGTGAAACACTGGCACAGGCTGCCCAGAGAGGTGGTAGAAGCCCCATCCCTGGAAACATTCAAGGTCAGGCTGGATGGAGCTCTGAGCAACCTGATCTAGTTGAAGATGGCCCTGCTCATGGCAGAGCAGTTGGACTAGATGAGCTTTCAAGGTCCCTTCCAACCCAAACCAGTCTGTGATTCTGTATTTACCCTTCATCATGTCCGCGGAGTCCTGCAACACAGGTTCCCTGAGCACACAGGCATGCAATGACAGGAACTCCATTTTCTACTCTTTATGAAGCCACAAGAGTGCAAGAGGATAAACTGATAAGCCAAGTATGGATTTGTCCAAATCAAACAATTCTAGACAACTAAATGAGCAGCTCTATATTGACATTTGCAAGCAGAGGCTTAAACTGAGGATGCAATATCTGGAGATCAGCAGGGTTCTACCCATGAAAGTACCAGAAGAACTGGAAGACAGTAAAAGATGTAGCTATGAGAATTTTTTTTTTTTTTTAAAATAAAAACCATTTAAGCTTGCTAATTTTTGCTGTCTCAGACAATCAAAATTCCAATTGTCTGGGACATCAAATCTAAAAAAGCATGAAATTAATCTTCAGAAGTTAAAGTCTTAAAGGCATTGCATCATTATTTTTGTTGGATATATTTTTGATTATAATGCAGATGAACCCCAAATTTAATAAAACTAAAATAACATGAGTTAAGTATGAAACATAACAGGATATTGCAAAGAGATTAGGTAGTTTCCTTTAGACTACTTGCAGAGCCCAAGGAAAAACCAAACTGAGGGAGACAATGATGAGAAGGCACCACTTAATTAGAATATTTAACGGAATATGAAAACAGAATACTCATAGTACGGGTTTTGGCAATGAAACACAGTGAGTAGAATATGGACCTGAAACATCAGTAGTTCTCTACACCAGATACTGTTTTGCCTGTCCACTGTCTGTAGTAAAGAAAGAAGCAGGCTAGCTAAATTTAAACCAGCTGTAACGATGAGAGTGTTACAGTTGGACTGAAGGAAGCTTACCTCATGAAAGTATTGTGGAAACTGCTGTTGGAAAGATAATAAAAGGATTAACTGCAGTTTTAGTGAACCATTTACTTTTCAATCAAAATGTCTCATGTATTTCCTGTTCTCAAGTAGCTTGAATTCCAAAATTCCTTTGTCTATTACAGTACATAGTAGCAAAGCCTGTCATAAGAAATTAATAATTTTACATGGAAAAGAACTTTTATGTATGAGGGCGGGGTGCTGCTCACTGTTAGCTTCTCCTGAGCAGTTCAATACCTAGTCAGCCAGTAATCTTACAGAAAGGCACAAAATCGAGGGCTTAAAAAGAAAGTACAATGGGTAATTGTGAACAGCGAAAGAAAATCTCCACTACAAATACCAAGACATGTAAAGTTACTTCAACAGAGCTACAGCAAAAACGAAACAAAATCTCAGATCTCTATAGACACTGAATGAATTGCCTTCTTAATTTGCAGGAATAACAGCACAATTATTACCACATCAAAAGAAAAGCCATCATTTAAAATGACATGACATCACCGCACAATGGAACACTGCACAGCAACCCTTGTTTAAAGTGGAATGGAATTCGCTGGGCAAATAATCCCCACTTCATATTAATAACTTTAAGGAGCTGTGCTGCAGCTTTGGATCTTGTTCCTGCTAGATCAAGGTCTTTCCAGGGTAGAAAACTAAATCTGCAAAGAAGACATATTTTTCATGTGCTCACTTGGATCCAGCTTTACCCCACACAGGATTCCAGGCTGTAACATTTAATACATGGATATCTCTGCCGACAGTGGAAGGGTCTTATTCTGGGAGTACAAGAGTTAACTGCAAGTTGTGCAGTGTAAAGCTGCTAATTCTGATTGGCCACGCCATGTATGGGAACAACAACAATATCAGCTCAAAGAAAACACATCTTTATGTACTTACATGCCAAGGCTATATGCATGTGCCATGAAGGCTGTCTGCAATATCAGACACAAAGGTTTTTCCAACGTATTCACAATGCTAAACCTTGAGATGTTATCAAAAGCCAGTTCTTTAATGCAGATGAACATAATTGAAAGGAGGCGATTTTTAGCATTTGCTAAGATATTACATGATTTAACGTCTCTGGTTTATCCAGTTTCCTGTAGGAATGGGAATGTAACATTAGAAATCTGCTATCTAATACCTGTCAAATACGCATTTTGCTGAAAAAGACAAAAGTTCTCTCACTCATGAAGTCTACTGAATCTTTCAGCATCACAGTAAAGCTAGTCAGGGTTTTACGTTTTAAGTATTGCTTTTAAAAAGCGTGAGATAAAAGTGGGGAGAAGATTTATTTCATTCCAGATGATAAAAACACTTAAAACAAAAAGTAGGCTAAAATAAAATCTGTAATTATGCTTTCACAGCTTACTTACACCTTTGTTTGGAAAGAGGCAACTAACTTGCATTATCCTGTGATGATTTCTGACCAAAAAAAAAAAAGCTATTAATAGAAAGTTAAATTCCGTTGCACTTTCACAAACCGTGACTGAGCTACTTCTAGAAAGAAGCAAGTCGGTTCTTTCTCTCAAAGGAAAAATAAACAGGTAAGTCTCAGAGCATTCCCATTTTATCTTGGACAAGTTGATGGTGTTCTCTAAATATCCACATTGTTTCCAGTATTGTTTTAGGGAAAACCCACTAGACAGTACAGATATTAAGAATGTTTTTCATTTATCCAATGGAAGCAAAAAGATAATGAGGATGACCACTTACAGAGAATATTTTTCTCTGTAAACCATTTTGAATACTGTTGTTTTCTTCCTTTTCCCTTCCGTAACCATTGCAGGCCAGCAAGCTTTACCTTGAAAAAATTCTAAAAAGTAAGCTTTTTATATAAACATTCTTTCCTATTCCTCCACAGAAAGCTACAGCTTGCCACAGAAAAGTTTGTCTTGATCTAACTTCCTTACAAGCATTTTCCATGATATCATTCTCTGATCAATAACAATAAAATACTGAAAATCAATCATATAGTCGAAAATTCTGCCCATGAAGAACTACAACCTGCTGCCATAGCCATTCCCTTTGTCTGCATCTATTTGTGTGGGCGTGCACGTGTGTATGTGCATGCACGCACACGCGTGCGCGTGTGGGTGTTACAAATAAGACTTTCCAAATTTCATGGCCCAATTTGGAAGCTTATGTCAAACTTGTTTTGCTTCATCTGTTTCAGTCAGGGTCTTATATCATTGTTGTTTCAAACATGTGGAAAGCTTAATGGAAGTCATTAACTTTTATTTTAGTTTGGTCATATTGTCATCATGGTGGGCAGATGTAGAGATGGTGTTATTCCCAAGATCCTCTTTTTGGAACACTGATGTTGTTTACATCTTCTTGATCAGAAGAGAACAATGGTTTTTACTTATTTTTAAAGCTCTGTTTTGCAAATTAAAAAAGCCCCTAACAACCTTTGAAAATGTAATTAAAGATACTCCTTTTATTCTTTCAACTGCTTAAAATCTTTACCACATTTCTTTTTCTTTTCTAAACTACCATTTGAAACTTTTGCACTCACAACTCTATAGGTTATTGTTCAGCTGAAGGAATGAAAAGAATTTCATTAGATGTATTTTATGTCTCTTGATTAAAAATGTCACCCGAGGCTCAGTGACTTGTTTTACGTTAAATGACTGCTGTGTGCTTTGATCATCACTTTATTAATGCTTTAATGAATATTAAAAAAAATAAAGCACTGTATTAAAAGTTAAGCTCTCATATAAGGAAACTGAATCCCTTTTCCAAGAACTACAGTATTTCTTACTCAAACATTTCCTTCTAGATTAAGGTTTTCTCCAATTCCACTTTAGCCGGCTGCAGACTAAGTTACAGGAAAGCACAACAATTATATTGGAATAAGATTGAAGAGAGAGCAAGAAAGAGAGCAGAGTAGTATGTTTCTGTTCAAACAAATATATTCCAGACTTACCATGCACTTGTTTGGTTTTTCTCCAGAATGAACCCTCATATGAATCAGCAGTTTGTAACGAGCATTGAAGGGTTTATATCGGCGGACACAGCCTGCCCAAAAGCAAGTGAAGTCCTCTCCTTTCCGCTGGTCAATGTGAGTCTTTTCTATGTGTCTGACCAGTTCGTCTTGTTGGTCGTAAGTGGCACTGCAGTCAATCCACCGACAGACCTGTTTGCCATTGCTGAGGTCCTGTTCATCCCCGTCGCTGGGCTGAAGGGACTTTGGAGACATAGAGGCGTGTAAGTGAGGCAGTGTCCCTTGAGCCTGGCTTAGTTGCTGGTGTAGATGGTAAGGGGGAGGCAGCCCCTGGTGATGTCGAAAAAGATCAGCAGTGGAGGAATAATCGTCAGCTGGTTCTTGTTTTAAGAAACTCACCTTCTGGGTGCTGTGGGAGGTGTTCTGTTGAGTAATGCTAGTACCATTCATCATAAGGCTGAGGCTTCCATTCTCCTCGACTTGCTGCATTTGTATCTGCTCACAGTCACCTCTGTCACATTCAGCGGAAACAGGTACAAGACATGCTGGAGGGGAGGGAATACTGCAAGGGTTTCCAGGCTGAGAGCAAGACTGTGGCCGAGAGGATTTTTGAGCACTGTGATGACTGATCTCCACAGGATGAGAGGAAATGCCAGCTGAATTAGTTCGCAGTCCATTCACACAGGTGACCAGTGACGTCTGTGATGTGCGGATGATAGCTGTAATATCAATTCCTTCAGCTGAAGACGGCACAACAGAGATGCATCTCTTCTTCAGGTTGCTTGTTTGTAGCCTGGCTGAGTGCTGAGGGGTGCCAAGTGACAAAGGACCCAGGGAGGAGCTATGTTCATTATTAAACAAGTAGGATGAAAGAGAATTTGTAAAGCTATTATTCATTAGGTCTATTTCAGGATGCAGACTACCGGAGGCTCTCAGCTCCATCCCCTCCGTAATCCTCCTATGTGTGGAAGCCTCCGACAGAACCTTATAATCACTCGGGCATTCTTGTTTAATGTGCTGAGCCGGGTGACTTCCATTCAGGCATGGAGCAGCAGAATCTACTGAGTCTTGAAACCTGGGTGACCTGGAATACAGTTTTCATTAAGCATCACTAACTACCACAGGATTTATGATTTTTGTACAAGACACAACATTTGTTAAGCCCTAGAGAATGGAAGCACTTGCTCTCTGGAGAATGCTGCCTGCCTAATGCAGCAATTACACCAAAAAATTCTGCAATGCTTCCTCTACGACCTTGTAAAGGCAGCATCGTTTTACACAGGATTAATTTTACACAGTAGGTTACGAAGAGAATAGACAATCTCCCCTCCACTGCTATGGGCAGTTCATCAATCACAATCTAGGTTTTCAAGGAGTAATAGATCGAGCAAAACAATAGCTGAGAATGAATGTTTGAGCATTTTTGAATTATTCAAATATCAGTATTTTCCTCAGAGCACCGGGAAAATGCCCTGGCATTCTTGTTCACACAAATAAAAAAAGGCTAGCTTTGCTTATATGTCAGAAATGGTTTTCTTCACTAAATTTAAAAAGGAGCAAGATCAGTGGGGAAAAAAGAATTAAAAAGAAAGAACAGCTCGCTTTTAAGCAGTGGTCCGTAGTCGATGAGAGATCAGCTGAGTATTTACTTCTAAGAGGTCTACAAAAGATAACAGAGAAAAGTTCTCAACCAGTAGATTTAAACTGGCAGTCTGTGTATTCCTATTTCCATTTTTCATATCAAAGTCCACATGGGTCTGCAAATCAAAAGAACATTACTCTGCAGAAGTGATTTTTAATCTTTTTTGTTGTGTGCTGAATTCAGTCACTCAGGAAGCAGAAGTTTGAGGAATGCCACATAGACATTTCAGAAAAACACTGCATTTAGGAAATGTTTCCTCCTAACATTTTCTTCCAAGCAGATAGCTATTGGTTTATGCTTAAAATAAAACATTTTATCTCAGCTATAAAAATTTACTGTGGACAACCCAACTGTGTGATTTTTTCACTATTATTTCCATTAATCCACCACTAATGTCAAGACAGGAAGCTGGGATGACTGCTAACACTTCTTTGGTAACAGCTCTCAAAGAATTACCAATTAGAAAAAACAAAACAACAACATAAAATTTCAAAAATACTTCCTTGTCATGAAATTGAGATTGTCAAAAAATGACACCTGTCTGAGGCACACAACTGGCAACTCTGCATTCACTAGTGACAGGTGCCCAGAGAAGCTGTGGCTGCTCCTCCGTGGAAGTGTTCAAGGCCAGGCTGGGTGAGGCTTTGAGCAACCTGGTCTAGTGGAAGGTGTCCCTGCTGATGGCAGGGGAGTTGGAACTAGAGGTCCCTTCCAACCCAAACCATTCTGTGATAGGTTTCTAAGCTCCAACAGTTTGCAGCCAGAAGGGCTTGATATAAAAAAACCTTTAAGGTCACAAGAGATGTGAAATTCGCCACCATTCATTGCTATAGAACAATCTGATCTTGCATTTGCCACCACAAATCTAAAAAGAGTACATTTAAAAATTTTAGAGGTTTCCATAAACCATTAGTTATAATTTCTCCCTTTAGGTTTGCACAGTTGGTCTCAGGGTAAACCTAAAGCACCTGGTTTTGCAGATGGTAAATTTAAAAAAATACCAAACCAAAACAAACCCAACAGTATTCATACGTTATTTTTTAACATTTACAGAACCACATGTCTGTAAAATATGTGGCATAAGCATACGTAAAAATCTTTCATTGCACATGTTTGGGAAACCCTGCCCTGCTTGCTTGGAGCTTCATTGCTCAGCGTAACACGTGCTGGTTTAATCTCATCCTGAGAAAGGTTTTACAGCCTACCATTGCCAGGCACAGTATTTCCCATTACTTAGTTTCTTCTCTATGAGAACTCTTCTAAATAATTCATTTTGTATCACAGTTTAGTGGTCCCAAAGCCTCAGGCTAAAGTAAACACAACACATTTCTTACATAATATAAAGCTAACCCAAGCCTTACATTTCAGCCTGTGATAATTGGTGTCACATTATTAAGCTTTATGTAAAGCTCCCATCTTGCCAGAAACCCACGTGAGGAGTTCAGGCTGGAGTCAGTGCAGAGTACCTGCAGGATGGATACAAGCATCTCTGTCCTGAGAATTATTAGGTTTCCCAAATCTCCCAGAAACACTGATCTGCATTTCCAGCACAAGGTTTTACTCAGAGTCAGGACTGCATTGCTGTGATGCTGCAGTGTAGAGTATGAGACACACAAAAAGAGGGGAGTTTTGAACCAAAAGGCAAGCTGGAATACCTTATTTCAAAAGCAAGTGAGATGAAGGCACTGAATTCATGCCTCCCATTGCCACGACCATGTCTTATCCATGCTCTGCCTACACATAAGCACAAGTTGCTTGTGCAGATCAGAAGCAAGTACTTTCTGGGAGCTGCAGTTTTCTCTGTGGCTCTACGTATTTAAATACATTATATACCCGGTGTTAGTTAACTCTCCTGGGAGAATCTGGCATTCTTTTAACTTCCTGATGTTTGAGTGTTGGGGTACTTAATGTCAACGTTGCATTAATGCAAACTTTCTGTATTCCTGGCAGAATTTTGCCATCACTGTTCTAGGGAAAGCCCTGTTCCTTCCTCCCAGTCCTGGGGAGGGGGAGAAGGGGCACAGAAACAAAACTAATGTGAGAGAGAAACAAAGTGTCTGGCATCCAACGTGCTGCGTGGCTCCGCTTATACCCACTGACTACTTGCTCCTGCAATGGCATCTCGCTGTTACAGCCACGGATCAGATTCCAGGCCGGGTACACACAGGCAGTGCTGGCCATAAGGATTCCACAATCTCTGGACAGTAGCCAAATATAAATGCACGTTACACAAATAGCCAAGAGGAGAGCGAGAGGGACAAAGGACAGCAGGACAGTGTAAAGAGCGCTGTGTGGACATGCGGATCACCATGAGCAGCTCTGAGGGGCTTCCAGATGAGCAACCCTGGAAGGGACTGGAGTCAGCTCCAGAATATACCCCACTAACCTCTCTTCACAGGGAGCATCCATGTACCACGGATGGACAGTCTGAGGCAACAGAATTGCTGCTTAAGCACATGGAAGCGGAGTGTGAGGCCTTAGCAGAGTAACAGCAGCCTCTCAGAGGACACTAAGGCAGCGCTTCCAAAGAGCCTCCCTTACGTGGTAACTGGAGCCAGAGCACGAGGCCAGCAGCACCATGCCAGAAGTACTGCAGCTCCCAACTGCCCTCAGAGGAAAAGACGACTGTATCTGAGATCTCCAGTTTATTTACAAAACATACATGCCTTCAATTGCCACTGTAAATGTGCCATCAGTGGTAACTGACAGTTTTAAGAAGCTGGAGAGGATTGTTCTGCTGCACATCCCGGGACCCTTTGCAACACTATCTGACTGCTCTGATGTCTTCCCTGGGTTTTAGATGCCAAGCACTGAGCACGGCGTGGGCGGGTTTGCCGTGTCTGATAATGGATTATTTGACAAAAGGCCAACATTAGCTGTGTGCTGACTCCAATTGTGGTGAGGAAGGTATTAGGACTTTTCCAGTCCCACACACATCGCATTCACAGATAGCATGTAGCAGCAATTATGTTGCATAACTTAAAAGCTATTAACTAAGTGAGGAAAAGGGACCAGGAAGAAGAAGGATCATGATTCTTGGATTAAGGCAGCCATCCCTGGAATACAGTTTCTGAGAGAAAGTAATTCAGGGAGAAGCTGAAGGGGATAACAAGTTTCAGTGCGCTGAGGAAAAAAAGGACAAAGCCAATCGTGACCGCAAATCCTGAGGGAGATTTTGGATTGCTAGGGGAGGTGCTCTCTGGTTTGTTTGGGTTTGCCTTGGACGTTCCATATCCTAGAAATGCAGAGTGGTTCAAGGCTCAAGTCAGAGAGATTGTTTGAATTTGTACCTCCCTTTTATGTCTGTGCTGGTCACTAGAGCTGGACAGAACAACCAGAGCTCACCCTGACTTCCATGTGCTCCACTATCTGTCCATTCCAGCCCTATTTCTCTCATCTATTTTCTAATAGAGGCTGAAATCTGGAGAGGCACAGAGCACCCTTGGCTCCCACTGATCCACTGGAACCTGGTGGGCATTCACTCCCACCTCAGTTACACCCTCCTGTTTTCAGATCTTCAGGGAAAGACCATGTTTTCTGTTACTTGTCCAGAACCTTTAGCATCACAAACACCATGAACAGAAATTGTCCCAACTGCTCTCCACCTTCTCTCACATGCTCCGTATGGAGGGTCCTTCAAGATATTCTCCAAACATTTCCAAACTGTTGTTTAGAAGCAGCAAAGCCTGGAGGCTTTAGACCACACTACAAAGCAAAGGGGAGGGAATCAGTTCTATCACCTGCTACTTTCTCATGTTATGCAGCAGACAATCCTTTATGTTGTTCTGGGAATCCTCTTCCCAACAGGGGCTGGAGAGGGTTCATATTTCTGAGGGTGGGTACTGTGATGCCCAGTATGCAGGTATCTGTCATTTCTTCATTATAGATTTTACAAAAAAGTTCAAAAAGATCTAAGTAGAGTGCTCTCTTCCTCCTTTTGTTTGCTCCTGCCCTAATTATCTTTGTTTCATAATTGTCCTCACTGACAGAATAAAAAAAGGTTGATAACTGCTGGTCCCACATTGAGCCATAAGGAAGCTGGGAGGGAGCAGACTTACATCCAGCTGCAACAGCATCTACAAATCTTTGCAGCAATAGCAGAATATTTTGTTACGTGGCATGGATATTATTTGTCGTTTTCAAACAAACAACAAGCTCTTTCCACTTGCTTGCCATATTGCTGTGCTTCCTCCTCCTGAAAACACAGATGTTCTACCAGTAAATGGAAAAGGGGAAACAAGACATAAATGTGTGTAATAGAATCAGAAACAGTCAGATTTCCAAGGCCAAGCTATAGGCCATATTACCTCTTCTATGACTATGGAAATTTGGGCCCGATAGTTCCACGCACGGAGCGCCAATTATTCCAAGTATCTAAGATAAAGGCTGCAACTTTATTGAGGTTTTTCTTTTCTACAGCTCTTCAAAAAGGTCAAGATTATTCTGTATTATATCCCCTGCCAAAAAGCAGTGTAATTAAAATAGATGGACAGATTTTAATTTGTAGCAGGCTTCTATTCACAATGGATGTCTGTTTAGGGTACTTGCTTAAAATCTGGTAATGTTAAATTTGTAACAACAACAAAAAAAATAATGGAGTTCTGTGTTTTCATATAATTAATTTATAGCAAATGTTTAAATAGAGATTCTGTTCATAGCATATCCAACTACAGTGTATATATCAAAACCAGAGACCAAATTTTCACATTATGGCCTTAAAAGCAAATACCAAGGATGTGGCTGTATGGGAACATCGAAAAAACTTCATTAAAGGAAACGCTGTAGAAATAAAAGTGGCACTGGCTTCCTGTAGGTTTGATGGTGGCATGCCAAATTGCTGTATGGGAGACACTGGCTTGGGAGTAAGTATCATCCCTGCCTTCTGGGCTGCAATTTGGAAACAACATGGCCTTGGGGTAGAGGGTCGAGGTACAGAGGAGGCACCTTTGACCATACTTAAGCCCCTGGCAAAACTCTGCTTGACTTTTGAGCATGCAGGAAGAGTCCCTACAGAGAAGTTGTGTTTAAACTTCAGTTCAGGGGGCTGTGGCTGCACACACAGCGAGTCCTCCTGGCACTGCCTCGGACAGTTGTCTGTGCACACGTGCATGTCCCTGCACTGCAAACCTGCAATGAGCAGTGTGGTTAAATCAGCATCCAAAGGACTTCCAAAATAAAGTAAAAGTCAGAAATACTCTTCTAAATGTAGCACCCACGGATGCTACTGGGAAATAGTTCCAACAAAGAAGCACTCCAGAGGAGCAAAGTATATCCACCGATAAAACTTGCAGTGATACCTTATATCCGAGTGCGCCAGGTTCAGCTGGCCAACATGAAGCAGCCTCTCACAGGACAGTGGGTGGTCTCGCATAAGTGGGTTTCCCGTGTGGATGAACAGACCTTGTCTGCAGACAGGTACTGAGCTACTTGTCATCTCCATGTCCATCATGTTCTTCTTCTCAGAGATCAAATTACAATGATTGTAGCCACCGTTCACTGTCAAAAAAATTAAAAAACCGTAAGCCTTTGACTAAGAACACTCTACGCTCGTTACTTTGTATGTTCATTTGCGTATTCTGTATGCTTGTTTTGGATCCCCTTGTAAAATTCCTGTAAATGACACAACAGTGGAAATGCAAGGTTTCACAAGGAACCAAAAATTAATTCCAGAGGAATTTGGATCTGTGAATTATGGTTGTTTATTTATCTTTTTAAGTTTTGTGGCTATTTTACACTTCATAATCTAACTCACGATAGCTTGCCTTCCTTCTGTGTATTTTTATGGTGAGTCTTGCCTGCGTTAGACTTTGGACAGGGATGTTTCAGAGTCCCTTTATTTTCAGGGAGAGGAGCTCTCTGAAAACAGTGATGTAAGTCAAGTGTTTCTTTGCAGACAATTATCTCTGTGATTATGACTTTAGATGGGCATGTTTCTACTTTACTGTCAGGTCAACAGTGTGAAAAAATCAAACTCATTTTGTTTCAATGCATACATTTAACTATATTTTCCAAGTAATCTATTATTATAAACGTCAATGTTAATAATAACAAATTCTGCTCTGGTGAATATTAAATTTTACCAGACTTGGAAAAACAGATGAGAGCTATATCAATATTCTTCAGAAATGTATATATAACCACAAATGATAACCTAGCTAAAAAGAAAGGACAAAGGAGGAACTGAGAATTTAGATTGCATTGGTCGAATGCTAGCAATTCCATTTAATTTAAAGCATATTAGTTGGGTTTTTTACCTCAAGTGAACTAATCAAATACTCACAGATAAGCATGTATAAAAGTACTTGTAACAATTCCAGAGGCTAGCTAAAGAAGTTACAACAGCCATTTACCATCATTTTCACTATCGCATATGAATCACACTTTTAAAATACTACATCTCCCTCTAATATGTTTTGGGGGGGGTTTTTTGTTTTGTTTTTTTCTCCAGGGAAAAAACCCACAATGGTGTCAGACACTAACAGCAAGCTTATTTCTGTAGAATCAATCCACACGGAGTTCAGAAAGTAACTCCTTCACCCTTGTACTCGGGGCATGGGTGCTATAGAGCTAGTCTGCGTTGTAGTTGGTCCGCTCTCTACAGAGCCATTGAGTGCTGCACGCTGAGGAAGAAAACGAATTCTGCAGTCAAAGTGACAGAAAACACAAAGCCTATGCTCAGTTTCATGCAATTCACTGATTCTCACCAGCATCAGGGTTTGTCCTTTACTAAGGTGTTACATGGCACAATTAATCTCACCATAGTTTGGCTCTCTATGAATTTTACCCAGACAGTGCCCGTGTTGTCCAGCCATCTCAAAATCAGTGTCTAAGATGGGCTCATGCAACTTCACGACACGCTTTCCTCTCCCCCTTGACTATAGAAGGCACTTAAACAAGCAAATTAAACTGAGTATCTGACTTTTAGACAGTTGCAGTTGAGCAAAATGAATCCCTCTGAGTAGCCACTGGACTTACAAGCATCCTCATCACAAATAACCTACTTTACAGTAGGACCAGGTCTGGTCCTTCTTCTACTTCTGTTAATTCTTGTGGACTTGGCAGTGTTAGGTTTATGGCTGGACTCAATGATCCAAAGGTCTTTTCCAACCTTAATGATTCTAACCCTATAGCAAAGGAGAGGCAAGTGGGAGAGCCTGGGCTGCTGCTGTCCTCTGTAATTACAGTCAATGAATGCTTTGAAAGCGATGAGAATCACGTTCAGGGTTTTGGTGAGAATAAATGAGAAGAAACAGGTGACTGGGGAAGGCAAAAAAGTCTCTGGTAACTGGAGAACTTGTGAAAGGGATCACAGCACAAAAGTCCATTCTCCTCCACTGGCTGGGCTCCACAGCCTCCCCATCATGCTCCACGGCACCATTGTCATAGGGAAGACCACGGCAGTTGAAGACATAGTCCAGGCAAACATCCAGACCCATAGAAAAGAGTGGGTACATGTGACACCCAAATTACAAGTCTCACGAGACATTACTGTGACATTTCCAGAATAGAATTCCCTGTTTCCAGTGAAAAGTTTTCAGCATTTGGCTGATATATTACATTTCTTGACCATTTATTTATTTGATTTTTTTTTTTTTTAAAGAAGTCAGAATCTTTAGATTTGGAAAAACAATACCAGGTTTTTCCCACCCAGCTCCATCACAATACCAAGGCATGTGATAAGTCTAATAAAGTATAGGCCAGCATTATTTTATATCAACAAAATCTCCATGAAAGATTTTTAAGAACGATACATGAGATTTTAAAGATAAACAGATTTGTATTTAAACTATACAAAATGGGTGGTTAGCCTTATTCCTGGTAATTAATGTATATGTTGGAGTTATTTCAGATTTATGTTTGGAGTTCACTGAATTCACTGATAGTCTGGGATTGTTCTGAGTGACTGAAGAGGCGTAAGAAGCTGTACAGAAATGTAGCACCTCTTGGCCTGCGCAGGGCAGTCACTTGTCCTCAGTGGTTTTGGAACAAGGCATTTGAGAAGATGCCTTTTAGCCCATAATAGGTGTTTGTGACCATGAGCTCTTGTAATTACGACATAAACAATCCTTATATACTCTGGAGTCCACAGCTCTGTTGGGCTTTATTCCATTCCTATTTTGGTTTTATCCCACCATAATTTAACTCACTTTAGGGGTAATACCTACCTTGGCAAGACTGTATAATCAGACTTGTGGTTGTTAATTTGGATACATGAATCATATGCATTTAATGGATACATTAATTTAAAGGTTACCTAAATACACTGCTGAACACTGGCAAAATAAGTTCTATACACTTTTAAAGGCCACACCACCAAGAGAAGTTGGTAAATCGGTCATACCTGCACCACCCAATTCACAGTTCCTCACTTTTTCCATCAGCAACGTTACCTGGAATATACTCAAGATGTGTCTTTTCTCCAAAATACTGTGGATTCTTTCAAAATGTTTACGATTCATACCAGAGCCATAATAAAAACACTTTCTTTCTTGCATTCCCCAAGTGATATGTCTGAAATTCATTAGGGTTTTCTAAAGATGCATTTTATCAACTTTATCATATTATCAAAACACAGAAACTTGAAGCTCCCACCAAAGTTCAGCAGTACCAACTGCAGCACACACTGATACCTATTTGTGTGAAGATGGATGTTTCCTAGAACAACACGAACACTATCCCTGTGCTGTCAAAAATGATTATCTTCTCTTGTAGTCGTCAAACCAGAAAATACATTTTCTCCTTGTAAAGGAACAGAACACTCACATTAAATCCATGAAATGGCATGTGTTTCACCCAATCCACCGTACGTTTGCCTTCACAAAGTAACTTACAGATTTATTAACAAGAACTAAAACTTTCTTGCACAACAGTGCCCTGTGTGAAGTCACACTTGCATCAAAGCCCTCTGAAATGTGCCCACCACATGGGAGTTGGAACAATGACGGACAAGGAACACCACCAGCAGCTCACTTTTTTTTCCCCCTGCAACAACTAAAACAAGAGCTGAGAGATTGTCTCTGAACACAGACAACCAGAGTCCAACATGTGAAAGCAAATTCGTTGCTTCTGAAGAAAAAAAAAAAGGAAAAAAAGTCTAGTTTACACCAGTGTAACTGAGAACAGAATCTGGCCCTTTGACAACTGGCTGTTTTATACAATATTAATATCACTAGCTGGCATACACAAAATTTAAGCATTTTCCATGTCTGGAACTACATCTCCTCTTTCACTGGTATCGTGGGGCCTTTAACCTACATACTGTAACTTACCAAGAACAGATGAAAAGAGCACAAACTCCCTGCCTGATACCAGAGGGCTCACCCTGCTTTCAGTAGAACCATAGCTGTTTCATAAATCCATATAAAAAACTAATCCTCATTTACAGAGAGTAAATCTAATAAAAGTAGAATGGTTTCCAGAAGGATCTCATGGAAGAGGAATCCATCAAGGTAACTTTTGTCTCGCTCTTTTTCTGTCCTGCAGTTTTGATTTATATCTTTACATTTAAATGCTCGTGAAGGGAACGGAAGAGGTTGATACAGTAGTGTGCAAAGGCTGCAATCAGGCAATTCCTTCCATATGAGTAATCAAGTTAGTTCAATTTTTGATATCTTGCCTCTTTCATTCTAGGGTAGCTGACTTTGGGGGATTTTTTTTCTTGATTTATGCCAGATTAAGTCATGTGAGAATTGGTCCCATTGCTTGTGATGGGGTGTACACTCCAGGAAGGACGGCTCACACTGGTCAGGATCTGCAGAGTCAGCCCTGCCTTTCTTGATAGGGGTAAACTCTCCTAGAGGAAAACAGAGCACCTCCTCAAACAAAGGGAAACCTGTCTGTGTAACAATGAGATCAACCTTTAAAAGAACCCTACTAAAGGGCAATAGCTCTCTTTCTTCCCTGGGGAACATCTTCTTTACCATTCAGGAAGGTTTCACTCTTACTAATGAAATTAGCTGTTAAGGCAGTAGATAGATAAGAGCAAGAACTCACCAAAAGGGTAATTATTCAACAATAAACACATGTTGCAGTGCTTTGGAGTTCACCTAATTAAGGGCAATGAACAAATAACTGAAACGATGTATAATTGCAATGACTCACATTCAAAATAGAGATAGATTTGAAATATTTGCCTAACATACTTAGATATCCCCAGAGCATTGTGGGTTTTGCGGCGAAGACCAAACTAGGTCATTTGCTTTTTTTTTCTTACTGCTTCATTCTCTTTAATTACTTCTTAAAAAAAAAAATTAAAAATTGCCATTCTTGGTTTTGTTTGGATGCGATGTCCAAAATCTACCACGACAACACTGAGAAATGGAACTCTTACTGGCAGCTGGAGGAGTCACGTGAGACGAGTGAAAGACCAAACAGTACCAGATTTTCTCAAGCAAGTGAAAATCATCCATGCTGGAAGAGGCCATCAAATCCCTTCACTCAGAGAAAATTATTAACTCAAAAGGTGCCAACAGAGCAAAGCCATGTATCGTAGGGCAGGTACTGTACCCATACCCAGTATCCCATTCCACACAACTAGTGCTGACTAATCTCCACTACTGTATGGCTGGAGTGACTGCCACAACTCCTATACACTCAGTAACTTAAGAGCATCAAGAGTGATGCACAGCACGATGCTGACTGTCTGAAGGCTCTAACGAATGAACTGAACGCTTCAGAACACAGAATCTTCAAAATGATTCATGAAAATACAGCGTTTTCAAAATTTTCAACAACAAAAAATCAACACTTGCTCTAATTTTTTTATGCCTGTTACGCTGCTCTCTGTTGTGAAAGGGAGGGCTTGTCTTAATCCTACAACACCAAGCCTGACAGGCAGAAACGTAGCATAAAAGCTGGAAAATAGATACTACAGTCGTACTTATACCTCCTAGAATGGAAGCCAACTGTGTGATTGTGGAGACAGACTTCCTGTGCTTTGTGAAAAAACATAGTTTCTCCTTTAGTTTCAGCGAACAACTGTTAGAAGGGATATGAGTTTGGGTCTAATATTTTCTACTGTGGGCACAGCTTAAGAGAAGGGAGACACTTCAGAAGTAGGCTGGCGTGATTAGCCATGTATGACATCACAGCCTTAAGCAGACCTTACCCTAATGTAATACTGTTAGTTGCACTTAGATCTTCAAGCTTATAACAAGATATTCTGAACACAGACTTCCAGATCTTGGCCCAGAGACCCAAAAGAGGGGATGTTCAGGTCTTTTCTTGACCTCTTTGTAGTCATTTGCACCATCTAGTACACAACAAACTTCTAGACATTTGGGCTTCTCACCACTTAAAATTGGAAGGTTGTGCACTTTAAGAGACCTTTGCAATAATTTCTAATTCAGTACAAGACTTCCAATAACATTTTATTATTAAAGTTTATCTTTTTATAAATCACACAAACATGATGTGGTCCCAGATTGTCTGACCATGACTCTTTATGTAAGTAAATGTATACTCTCACAAAGCTTCGTAAATTACAAGCTATAGTTTCACCCTGTGTATTTCTCATAGTTCTCTCTGTGTTTTGATTTCATCTCTGTGTGATATCAATGCTGGGCACCACTAAGTTTCTTTCCTGGGGGAGAAGGATGCAAGAAACCCCTTAGAGCTGAATAGCCCCAGAACAGTGCATGCAGATGCAGAATTCCTTCCTTGTTCCATGAATTATCTGAGTCTTCTGTGATGCACAGGTAGCAAATCCAGGATCTAACATGGTGCTGAATAAACAACTACACAGATAGTGACTATCAAATAAAATCAATGTTACACAGAAAAGTTACAAGAAATGTTCAAACATAACTGTGCAGTTCTTCAAGCCCCTGGGGTGAGTTTATTGACTTTCAGTACAGCCATTTGTCACACACAGCTCCTTTGATTCATTTAGACTGGCAAAGGAAGGCAACAATTCTTTCTGCAAGGCACCAGGACAAGAGATCTCCCAGTCTCTTTTGCTGCTGTTTGTCCTTACCTCAGGACTGACGTGATTAACAACAACAGTATTAAATTTTCACTGCTGCATTCAAGAGTTCATATCTCAAAGATGAACATAGCAGCTCACACCACATTTCAGGTTCACCCTAGATCTCTGTATCAGTTATGATCTGTTCACATTGTAAGGCCTGTTTCATACAGCTGGTAGAGACTTGGCTTCACTTTTTTATAATGTCTGTACACTATCTTAATAAAAACACAGTAAGAGAGAGCCAAAAGGGTCTTTATTACCGAGTGGTCACAGTGTACAGTGAGAGTCAGGCAAAGACTCAAATTGTCCTGCATTTCTGTATCAGAACAGAGGTGACAGATCCTCTGCCTGTTTGAAAATAGATATAGGTGATATGAATCTACGAAAGATTAGGGTTAAACACAGCAGCATTCAATAAAAATAGAATAAAAAAGAAGGATCTCTTTCCTCCAACTTTTTTTGAACCATCCTATAAAATCCCATAACAGAAATACTTGTTTCTTTACTTTCACATTGATGTTTGAGTGAAGACAGAAGGGCTACGAAAACTCTTGTAAACTAAAACAACCCAGCCAGTGAAATAAATTGTGGAGTATCAATCTTAAAAACTTGTGAAAGATAAACATAACCC